CCCCCCGCGTTTGGCGGAAGTCCTCGCAGAAAAGAGAGAAAACCAACCCAAAAACGAAAAAAAGAGTCACTGCAGAACTGCAGCGCAAGTGCACAAAAAACGCAGGCCACAGCTGTTCACTGAAATGAAATTATTATAAAATCATGATACAAAGAAAGAAAACGAAAAAAGAAAGCCTGGCAAGGTCCCTTCCCTGTCCTCTCTCCCCTTGGCCACAGAGTACCCATCCACAGCCGTCCAATTGACGCCATCGCAGGGCACGCAGCCAATTCTCTCCACCTGGAGCCACCCCCTTTCGGCATTAGGGCCAGATCCCACTAGCCCCTATTGTTCATTTCTGACCGTTGATCTTCGTAATCGAGGGTGAACAATGAATAATCCAGGGTAGACTGGCGGCCAAGTCCCACTTGGCTAGATCCTTCATTACTGGCCATAGATGGGCCAAATGTACGGTCACGAATTAAGATTTCCGCTCAGTGGGACTTGGCCCTCGGTGGGCAGCCCATTTTCTCGACCTGGGCCAACGCCTCGCTCGATTCGTGATAAGAGGGCTCCATAAGGGGCCTCGTGTGGTCCAGCTACGAGCCCCCCTTTGCCAAGATTCTTCACTCTGGGCCGTAGGTTACAGGATCAAAGGCCCAGGAACGGACCCGACAATCCTGTCCAGGTACGTGGGACCTTGCCTAGGAGCGGGTTATCCATTTACCCAACACCTTCCACACTGAGGGCACCAGTGTGTATGTGTACACAAGCGGTGAAGGTCCGGGCCCACTCGGCCGGAACCTTTGTCCTTCAGCGTGTCGACCGTTGACTCGCGAATTGGAGGGCCCAAAACAAAAGGAAAAAGAATATGTATGTATGTGGAACTGGGACCCCGCCCCTGGGGCAAGGTCCCACTTGCACTGATTAAGAGATTCTGGCCGTTGATCTTTGCGATCTACGGTCGATATCGCTTAACTCGTGTAAATGGGACCTAGCCCCTGGACTTTGGCTTTTTTCTTTTTCCAAAAGTGCAAGAAAAAATGTGACTTTTTTTTTTGGGGGGGGGGGGGGGGGGGGGGAATAAAATAAAAAAAAAATAAAAATAAAAAAATACAACTGTACAATTTTTATTTTATTTTATTTTATTTTATTTATTTATTTTTTACATGGAGGGTTGAGCGCGCGAAGGCCTGGCTCCAACAGGCGCCAAATGTTGTGAGAAAGACAAAGAGTCCAGCTAAAGAGCCTACCGTCTTCCACCGAACATAACGCACCCTGAAAAGGAACGTATAGAAGGTACGTTTCCGGCCAGATACAGTCAGACAGTCAGAATGAAGGTGCGTTGTGTTCGGGGGAAGACGGTAGCCAAGGAGCCTACCTACCGTGGGCTAGGTCCCACTTGCACGGATTAAGAGATTCTGGCCGTTGATCTCTGCTATCTACGGTCAATATCGCTTAATTCGTGTAAGTGGGACCTAGCCCCGTAGTTGCACTGCTGGCCATCCGCCCGCATTTTGAATGCATCTGGACAAATTCGGTCGAGACAGAGGCATTCAACATGTCGGAGGACGGCGAGTAGTACAACTAGGCCCTAAGCTAAACATGCAGCCCCCTTTAGGGGCCTCGCTGCACTACTCTCGAAATGCGCAAAACGAGTGTGAATCTTCCGCTAGAATATTGAAAGATACACCGCCAATATTTTTGTCTTCTGTGCATGTCGATCGAGAGTAGAGCAGCGAGGCCCTATAAAGTGCAGGGAGTGCTTATGCGTAGTAGCGAAAGACCGAGGGATGGAGGTTGAACCGAGCTGAGGGCGTACTCACACTGGTACTTCAGTGGATGTACATGACCTCTCTTCCCACCACGCCTGGATGCACTTGACCGCTATTACGTCCACAGGGAAGTTGAAAAGGAACTCGGTGTGAGTATGCCCTGAGTCCAGCACGCGGAAAACGAAAATGCCCCCTCTTATCAGTCAGCTGCAGGCCCCAAAGAGCGAGGGAGGGGTGTGCACTGAACACACAGCACGCAGGAAACGCAAACGCCCTCTGCCCTCTGCAGTATAGGTACAACTGTCTCATGCCTGTTGTCGTCGTTTGCTAGGGTGTGACAAGTGTAGTTAGTGCCTCGCTCCGCTTGTCAGCGAATTGCGACAGGCCGCAAGTGTATTTCCCCGTAGAACTTGGAAAGATGCACTGATCATTTTTCTGTCTTTTTTATAGATTAGATATATTACACTGCTTAATATGTTGTAGAGAGGCAACGGAGCTTAGGGCATCCGACCTTTAGGAATCCCTTCTCCCTACCCCCTTCCCCGAACACCCCATCCCACTCCTCCTACAGACTAACAGCCCTGCCTAAAGAGACCTCTAGAACATGTGTATTACCAGTTTCTTTATGCAACGGTTGGAAAAAGACACTGATCATTTTTCGCATTTGGCCAGTAGTACAGAGAGGCCCTTATCCTCAAGATTTGTGAAGATTTGTGAAGATTTGTATTCTACAACAGAAACATGAAACGCGAGGTAGCAAAACAAACCAAAAAAGGAAAAGGGAAAATGGCAAGGTCACCTGAGTAACCTCCACTTACGCAACAAACGCAAATAGAAAAACGACCCCGTGGAGAAGCCGCCACGAATGTCCCTGGATCGCGGCTTGCCTCCAGTGGCAGTCACGTTCACCTATTTCATCATCTTGTACCGGTCGGACTCCTCCCGCCCAGGCTCGAATCGCACCAGCTGCTCAGAGATCTGAGTGTTCGGAGTGAGATTATCCAAGAGACCAAAGAAGATCACGAGAACCCCCTTTTTCCGCGCACTGTCATTTTGTCAGGTGAACAGAGGGCGGGCCTTGTCTGAAAGGACAAAGCTGACCTGGAGAGGATGCCCGTGGACGTTTTCACGTTTGGGTGCAGATGACGCACACTCGAGGTGCATTCTGACTGTTCGCAAAACGTATCAAATGTTCATCCTTTGGTGATACCGGTAGCCCCTTCGGGTCCAAATGGTAGTTGGAAGGGTGGTGAATTTGCTGGAGGGGCAATTCATGGGGAAAGGGCAGTTGTTGCTTCCAAAGGATGGGTATCTGCCTGTGGGAGGCCGAGGAGGCCACGGTCCTTGAGTTGAATTGACGTGAGGGCATGGGTGTGCAGACCCTAATTTGTTTGTTGATGTGGTTGGGGAAGGGTAAGGTAGTGAGTATGGGTCTCGCTTCACTAAACTTGACTCTAGAAAAAAGTATAGAGTTGGTTGAGTGTTGTCAGACTCTAGAAAACATCAAAAAACGCCGGCCTCGGTCCACTTACACTAGAGGGTGCTACTCTAGACATACACTCGAACCGTCGAGAGTCCACTCTGGGGTGTCCCATTCCACAACATGACACCGCCAGCCTGGTTTGTCCACCGAGACTTGCGGTAGACTCACAAATTTCAGCACAGAAGGGAGGACCCTAGAGGAAATGGGCGCTACAGGCTGGGGGACGCTAGAGGAGTCGAGAGTGCATGTCTGGAGCATTTTCTGGCAGCACTAGGCACACATTTTCGAGAGGTTTGTCTAGTGTAAGTGAAGCGAGGCAGAACTCTCAAATTTTCGAGAATCTAGCGTAGTGGAGCGAGACCCTATGCTGTTGTATTTTTGTCATGTTCACTATACACAACTCCAAGAGTGTGTTCGCAGCCCGTCAGGGTTGCGTTTTCCCCCCCTGAGACATTTCAACGTCAATCAAAATTCAACGTCGGTGGTCGTCCCGAGGGTGGGCATTTTGAGGTTTTGGGGCCTTGCAAGGGCCAGGATCGCGTAGGACCGGTAGCTGCCCGTAGGAGCCTGTAGGAGCCCGAGGACCTTAAGCCATTTTCAAAATTGAAAAGGTGCAGGTGCACTTTTCGCGAATAGCAAAGCTCCTCGAATAGAAAACGTACACATTGTATTCGAATATAACAAGTACCCTTTCTATTCGGATTTTGAAAAGAGAAAACTCGTGTATTCCAATAAAATTACTACTTTTTTTTGGGGGGAAGTCAGCGCCTGCCCTTGTGCTCCCCGCCACTGACATGCTGCATG